GATCCCATATCATCCCATTCAATAAAGAATGATTTAAAAGGAGGATAAACCAAGTTGGAATATGGTTCRTATTGCTTTTTTATTATTAAAAAAAATGATATACTCTAAGGCTGTCAATGTCTCTATTTTAGWGTTCACACTAGGATACTATTAATATTTTATAAGCTACTTTCAAGTAATATCAAAGCAACTTGACAAAAAATGACTTTTAGTCCCTCCATTTTCAAATGATTTTCTTTGGGAAAGGAAGATAGAATTYCCATCTGGTAATTTATTAAAACTAAAGATAATTATATTATATGTTTGAGCAATTTTTCTGAAAGAGCATTTTGCTTACTCTTCATCTTCTTCATCCTGATCAGTTTCCATATTTTCATCATTGTCATCACCATAATTATAGTTTGGATCATAGCAGATRAACTTGAGACAAAGTTCTATTATCTACAAAGTATTGTGTAGCAAATATCCAGTGTTAGTAATAATCATGACAATCCTTTAACTACCTTTTTGAACAATAAAATTTTAAGCTTATACCTATTTTTAGACTGATTCCATAAGTTGGTACCAGTTCCCTCTCTGCCRGTATTTAACTAACGTTGCAAGGGGGTTAGGGATTGGGGGGAGGGGTTATATATAGACTGAGAGACATGAACTACAAAAATTGGTGAAATACTTTTAATTATGTAAAACTTCAAACTTGAGTGTGCTTAAAATATGCAAATTTCCTGTACTTTTTAAAGTATGATCTACTGATGAGTTGCCAAGCTAAAATGATCTAACTATAGTTTGATTTTGCTTTCCAATAAAATAGCAACCAAATACTGTTCAGACTAAAAATAATTGAATGAATGAATAAGTAAAATAGATAATTAAAAAGATATCTTTTGAAAATACTCAGGACTTACACAGGAATCTTTAATTTACTATATTTGAATAATAGCAACTTACTTTTGGTATAAAAAGAGTAACTTCTTTTGGACATCTATGCACAAATGACTCAAATGCCTAAAAAATAAAACAGTCCATTCACTAAAAGTAGCACATTAATATGCATACATTAATTAACATATTCTAGACATATCATCACTGAACAAAAGAGAATAATTTACATAATTGATTTACATATTATTAACATTTATTATATAGCTTGGATGTAACACACGATTTCATTGCCTAAAAAGCTACTCTACGCCCTCTGGCCATAAGTCAGTAGAAAAAAACTCAGTCCATAACTTCCGCTCGATTAATAAGATATTAAAAAATACATAAAATAATCTTTGACTCCTTCACTRATCCTACTGTGAACATTGAACGTCTGCAACCTACACATTCATACATACATGCATAAATCATAACATAATGCAACAAGAATCTAGTACACACTTAGTAAACAGAACAAAGTGTTAAAAATCTGATTCAAGAGCAAAAAAATAAATTCAGATAAGTGTCTTAAGTGTATTCATTTGATCAATCTTATAGTGCAAAGGCCAATTCATACTAAGAAGAAAATTTGGCTAAAAATAGGGTCTCCCATTTAAAAATATGATTTGAAATAACATTTTTGGAGAATTAAGATCATTCTCTAGCAAATCTAACAAGCTGTCTGAATTAGCCAGTTGTTCATGAAATGTTCATTCCATTCATTCCACAATAATTGATTGACAATCCCATATGTGGAGTTCAACAAAACTTCACATGAAATTTTAAAAATCAATATATAGCTTCAGAATCAACAAAATACTTCGTTCATGTCAATGAGCTAAAGTAAACACAAGCAAAGGTATACAAGTCATACGTTTTGCAAATTKTRYATATWTT